AAAAAAAGTATTAAAAAAGACTAAAGTATTAAAAAAAAATTAAATATTTGAAAATTCAATCAGTATTCAATTATGTTCACTATGTCCACAGAAATCTAATTACTAAAGTCTTTAAGTCCATTTCGAGAGATTTAAATATAAAGATTTTTTTATTTATTAAATATTTGATTTTAAAGTTGAAAAAATTCTTTTCGAAAAGGTTCAAATATTCTATTATCAAGATTACATTCTAAATAGATTCAAAGATGCTATTGTAAAAAGATTTTAAAATTCTGTTACATTGATTCCACTGTAAAAAGGTTCAAATATTCCATTATAAAGATTTCAATGTAAAAAGGTTAAAATATTCTATTATTAAGACTCCATTCTAAATGGATTCCAATATTCCATTCAAAAAATATTCTAATAACCCATTTCAAAAAGATTAAAAAATTTGAAACCGATCAAGTAAAAGCTAAAAATGCTCAAAAATATTTAAGTGTGACTTAAATGTCCAAAAACATTTGAGACCACTTTATGCACCATATTCTACACTTCCGTAGTACTTTTTTTTAGTTATGTAATGTTTTTTTGACACCAAAAATAGTTATAAATGCAGTTTTCCATGACATTATTACACTTCCTCTAACCATGATAAACAGTAGTTTATTGTGCCACTGCATCTTCTATATGTAAATCAGCCATGCTTTGATTGGCTAATCTTTTCACATATGAAAACTATTACAGATGTACTGATAAAAAAAGTTCATAGGATGTTACAAAATTGTTGTTTTGACCATTTGGTTTGTGTGAATGACAGAGTGTGCCTACAAAGGAATTCCTGTTTTTTTCACTAGTTTTTTTATGTGGTGAGTGTGTGTACGAGTTCAGAACTAACCTGTTCCCAGCACTGTGGCAAGAGTTCAGCTTCCACCCGAGTGGGACCCACATGTAGGGCGAATGCCACACACCCGGTCAGAATCATCTGCCTGGAGAGGAAGATTACAGCAGAGTGTTATCAAACTCGTAACAAACCGATTTTTTTTGGTCAGTTTACACATGCGCAGATGCCCAAATGCGCACACACCTCTGCTCATCGTCAGGTCTCTTGATAAGATTAAAGAGGATGTGCAGTAGCTGGTCTCTTTCTTTGGGCTCGGGATGCAGGCAGGCCGTACACAGAATGAGAGGAATCAACTCCTGTGGACACACACAGGAAAGCAGGTCATATAATATGCAATGCACAGGGAAATAAACACACACATGCATCCGCTGAGACACGTCCCAAAGGGCTCGGACAGGGAACTTCAGCAAGCAGGTATTTGAGGATATAGGGAAAATAAAAACTTCTCTATTGAAGAAACACCTTCACCACAAAGGAGAGAGTCTACAAGCCACTCAACCACAGCACCAACTAGGGCTGGGTGATATATCGGATATTCACGGCATGTTTGCAACTATGTTGTTGGTGCTATAATATTTAGAAACACTGTATAGTGAAGTAATTTTGATTTGGATATTAATTTTCTTAAAAACAGTCAATTCTCATGATCTCACAATTCTCGAGTTTGACAGCACTTACAGATTTAAACGTTAAAAATAACGTTAGAGTTGGTAAATTCACTGAATCAATTAAAAACTGTAATTCAATGTCACTTAGCATTCATTTATTTTTTTTTTTTTTAAAAAGCATGGCATCTTTATTAAGTAAAAATAAATGTCCAAACATGTTAACAAATATGACATCCATCTATCTATCAATCTATCTATCTATCTAGACAGACAGATGTAAGTGAGGATAGCAAAATAAAGTAAACTGTGACATACTGAATTACACCTAAATATTCTTCATACAGTGGACTACCAGTGAAATTGATAAAAATTTGGGACAAAAAATTATTCAGACAGTTTGACCTGACCATGTTTTGCTTAAGTGTTTTTTCTTTAACTGCTAATGCGACCTTTTTACACCACAGATTGTACAAAATTAAGCATCAAAATGAATAAACTGAGATAATGTGAGAAATGTTGAAGGTGGTTGACTGTATTTATTTATATATATATGTGACCCTGGAGCACAAAACCAGTCGTAAGTAGCACCGGTATATTTGTAGCAATAGTCAACAATACATTGTTTGGGTCAAAATTACCGATTTTTCTTTTATGCCAAAAATCATTAGGATATTATAAGTAAAGATCATGTTCCATGAAGATATTTTGTAAATTTCCTACTGTAAATATATCAAAACTTAATTTTTGATTAGTAATATGCATTACTAAGAATTTCATTTGGACAACTTTTTTTGCACCGCCAGATTCCAGATTTTCAAATAGTTGTATCTCGGCCAAATATTGTCCTATCCTAACAAACCATACATCAATGGAAAGCTTATTGTGTATACATTTTTGTCCAATTTCAAATAATTGACCCTTATGACTGTTTTTTTTGCTCCACACACACACACACACGATTTTTGTAGTGCTGTCAAGCGATTAATCGAGATTAATCGCATCCAAAATAAACGTTTTTGTTTACATATGTATGTGTACTGTTATTTATTTATTTTTTAAAAAAAAAAAGCATGGCATCTTTATTAAGTAAAAATAAATTTCCAAACATGTTAACAAATATGACATCCATCTATCTATCAATCTATCTATCTATCTATCTAGACAGACAGATGTAAGTGAGGATAGCAAAATAAAGTAAACTGTGACATACTGAATTACACCTAAATATTCTTCATACAGTGGACTACCAGTGAAATTGATAAAAATTTGGGACAAAAAATTATTCAGACAGTTTGACCTGACCATGTTTTGCTTAAGTGTTTTTTCTTTAACTGCTAATGCGACCTTTTTACACCACAGATTGTACAAAATTAAGCATCAAAATGAATAAACTGAGATAATGTGAGAAATGTTGAAGGTGGTTGACTGTATTTATTTATATATATATGTGACCCTGGAGCACAAAACCAGTCATAAGTAGCACCGGTATATTTGTAGCAATAGTCATTGTTTGGGTCAAAATTACCGATTTTTCTTTTATGCCAAAAATCATTAGGATATTATAAGTAAAGATCATGTTCCATGAAGATATTTTGTAAATTTCCTACTGTAAATATATCAAAACTTAATTTTTGATTAGTAACACAGTACACACTCATAGATTATAATGAAGGTTTGGTTTAAAAAAAAAAAAAACACAAATAAACAAATATAAAAATATACCGAATTTTGTCATAAGGCTTAAAATGATTGATATGTATTGCCCAGTTACTGTTGGATTTTCAATATTTCTGTCGGGAAAATCATTTTTATAACATGACATTCCCATGATCTTTTACGATTTTAATTTTTTGTAGGCCTAGATATCACACTTTTGAAAAACTTTTCAAACATTTGAACTTTTCCAAAAAGCTATTTGGAAAAAAAAAAGTGATTATTTTTAACTGGATTTTATGGCTGTATAATGAAGGTTTGGTTTAAAAAAAAAAAACACAAATAAACAAATATAGAAATATACCGAATTTTGTCATAAGGCTTAAAATGATTGATATGTATTGCCCAGTCCTAGCACAAAGACGTATTGAAGTGCGTGTCTGTATCAGGATGTATGCGGATGTGTATAAACGTGACATTCTCTAAAGTATGTACAACGCCATTTAGCCATGTAAATCAGTGGTTGTTTACCGTGAGACGCAGTTATGAAAGAAAACCTCACCAGCACGACAGATATCACATTACAGAACAGGCAGTGTGCCCTTGGTACACGTCTCATGGCCAAACAGCGGTTACTAGCCCTATTTTCCACGAAGATCCAGAACAGAAACAACAGATCAGGATTCACAGGAAGATTCGACACAGAAGTGTTTATTTTCTCTAGATTTATCTCATCTTGAGACGTGACTGTGGGTAGACCTCAGCCTCGAACAGGCACTTTAAAGTGAAAGATAGTTAAGCAAACATGCGGCAAGACTGCAGGCTGTTTGACGCCGTGCTTGTTTGTTTGGACGGTTCTTTCAATACACCCGCTTCTGGGGGGGAAGTCACCTGCCAAGAGTTAAAACCATAATTTTAATCGGATGTCAGAGATGTTATGAAAGTAAGGGTTGGTCTGTTGGAGACGCCAATGAGCCGTTTCATCAGTAGTGACTCTGTGTGAGAGTGTGGCATTGAGGCAGCAGTGCGCAGCGTCTCCTGCACCTGGAGCAGAGTTTTCAACAGAGGCATATTTATGAAATAGTTTATTTGGCTCTGGTCCAGAGTGAAAGTGTGGAAATGTGTGAGTGGAAATGGAACTTTTGTGGAAGAGCTACTGGAAAAAAACAAAACAAAACAAAAACAATTAGAAGCAGGCATTAAGAATGGGAAGAGCTTTGAGACTTAACCAATATATAAATTGGCACACACTAATCGTATTTGGGCCCTATTTAAACAGATGATTTTTCAAAGTAAAGTAAAGTAAAAGTAAAATAAAACAGCAATGCATCAGATAAAAAGAATAAAACGAATTATTCTAGACTGTTCTGACGCTTTGACCAAAGAATGTCCATAAATTTTGACCAAACAGATGATTTTTCCAAGGAAAATAAAATAATAAAATAAAATAAAATATACAATTCTCATTGCATCAAACAAAAAAATACCAATCAAATGATTCTAGATGGTTTTGACACTTTGACCAAAGAATTTCCATAAATTTTGACCCAAAAAATTCCATAAATATTATGTTATAACACTGTATTTTGTTTTGTAATTAATAAATACATATATATATATTTTTTTTTACAATTTATGAATGTCTTTCGGTGGTGCATTTTGCTAAAAACAAAAAACAAAAAGACAAACAAAAAAACACTACTTATAATTGTATTTAGGCCCTGTTTAAACTATAAATAAAACTAAAACTAAACTACACTAAAAATAATAAATAAATAAAATCTTATTTGCTTAAATAACAAAACAAAAAACAGAGAGTTCTAGAGGGTTCTTACACGTTGGCCAACGATTTTCCATGAATTTACACCAAACTACACTAAAAATAATAAATAAATAAAATCTTATTTGCTTAAATAACAAAACATAAAAAACAGAGAGTTCTAGAGGGTTCTTACACGTTGGCCAACGATTTTCCATGAATTTACCATGACTTTCCATTATTTTGTAATTTTGAAAAATAATTTTTATATATTTTTGTTATAATAATGAATATTGTTTTATTATTAATTAAAAAAAAAATTTTTTTTGAGTTATAATTGATAAATAAAATGGCTTTGTAATGCATTTTGCTTGACAAACTTTATTTATAATAAATGCCAATTTGTTTGATATTTTTTAATAAAATGCAATAACATTTGTTTGTGGCATGAAGTGTCCAAACATTTTTGTTGGCAAAAATGCAAAAAATAAAATCTGTTCTCAATATCTAAACAAAAAAAGGAAAAATACAAAACAAGAACTTGCATGTTTGGATTCCTTGTCACTCTAAATTGTTTCCCACGAAAACTTGTATTTATATGCAAATTTTCTGTTATACCATCAGCCTGCATTGACTCATTGAATCAAGATAATTACCAGCAGAAAGCAAAGAGGCCCATTCAGAAATACACCCACATGAAGAATTTTGGACTTTTGCAAACACACAGTGTACCTGATGTCTTATCAGTTTTACATGGTAATCAATAACTTGAATGGCCTTTAATTCCGAAAGACTTTATCTTTACTATAAAGTTCTTGTAGGTGTACAGATGACAGGAATTATATTCGTAAGGCAGGTGTTCCAGCAGCGCCCGATTAGTAATTGTTCTGCACCAGATGGGGAAAAACTGAGGGTGTGTCAGAGTGAGTGTGTGTCTGAATTCAAGGAAGAAGGTTATGAAGCCAACAGAATTAACAGGCAAAGCTCAAAGTCCAGTTTAGCGAGGAGATCTCTACTCCTCGTGTGGTGTTTGCTTTCACCCGACTTCAGCCTGGAAAGCATCCAATCCATCTTAAATGAATATTGTTTTATTATTAAAAAAAAAATTTTTTTTGAGTTATAATTTATAAATAAAATGGCTTTGTAATGCATTTTGCTTGACAAACTTTATTTATAATAAATGCCAATTTGTTTGATATTTTTTAATAAAATGCAATAACATTTGTTTGTGGCATGAAGTGTCCAAACATTTTTGTTGGCAAAAATGCAAAAAATAAAATCTGTTCTCAATATCTAAACAAAAAAAGGAAAAATACAAAACAAGAACTTGCATGTTTGGATTCCTTGTCACTCTAAATTGTTTCCCACGAAAACTTGTATTTATATGCAAATTTTCTGTTATACCATCAGCCTGCATTGACTCATTGAATCAAGATAATTACCAGCAGAAAGGCCCAATCAGAAATACACCCACATGAAGAATTTTGGACTGTTGCAAACACACAGTGTACCTGATGTCTTATCAGTTTTACATGGTAATCAATAACTTGAATGGCCTTTAATTCCGAAAGACTTTATCTTTACTATAAAGTTCTTGTAGGTGTACAGATGACAGGAATTATATTCGTAAGGCAGGTGTTCCAGCAGCGCCCGATTAGTAATTGTTCTGCACCAGATGGGGAAAAACTGAGGGTGTGTCAGAGTGAGTGTGTGTCTGAATTCAAGGAAGAAGGTTACGAAGCCAACAGAATTAACAGGCAAAGCTCAAAGTCCAGTTTAGCGAGGAGATTTCTACTCCTCGTGTGGTGTTTGCTTTCACCCGACTTCAGCCTGGAAAGCATCCAATCCATCTTAAACCGTCACCTGTCTCCCATAAAACACAACTGCCCTATGCAAATCAGAGGGGCCCGACGAGGGAAATGCTGTGGAACTTGCTTGGAACGGTACACACCTTTGGGTCTGCTCTCAACAGATGTACAGTGTGTGCATGTACCTTGTTTTTTTCTAAAAGTGTAGTCATTTAAACCAAATCAGCTCTGTAATAGGGGGGCAAAGAAAACAATTGAACAAGGTTTCATACTGAATAGCTGCAGCCTGAAGCACAGAAAAATCACAGCATAGAAATGTTCCATTGGCTTGGCTGTCAAAAGTTTAACTTGGGAGTTATTCGTCTGAAATTGCTATTTAGTTTTTCGTTAAAAAATGTAGCTACTCACTATTTATAAAACAAAGTTCAGAATACACATTTTTTAGACAAGCAATGTTTGAAGTTGTTGTAAAATATATATTTGCACATCTGTGACAGCAACTGTAAACGGCTAAGGACTAATTAACTTTATTTATCTGCAGAAAAATATTATATTTTGACTATTATTAACAATTTTATTAAGCTAACTAAAAAATTTTAGTTAACTAAAAATTAAACTATATATTCACTGAACGATGTTGCAATTTATGTTTCCATTGCCACCATTTTATGAACGCAAGACTGCAAAAAATGTATTTCTTACTTAGTATTTTTGCCTTGTTTCCCCATTACAAATATTGAAACATTCTTAAATCAAGACACATTTACTTGAAAAGCATAATGACACAAGATATTAAGTTCTGTTTTCTGAAAAAATTTATCAAAATTAAGTGAGCTTTTGCTTAAAACGAGAAAAAATATCTGCAAATGGGGCAAGAAAAATAATCTGGTTTTTTCTTTTTACAAGATTTTTTTGTTTGTTTTTACCCCATTGGCAGATATTTTTCTTGTTTTAAGCAAAAACGAACAAGACAAAAATACTAAGTAAGAAAATCCTTTTTTTGCAGTGGGGCAGAATACCGGAGTGCAAGATTAGCCATTAATATTTTTCTGTTATGTTTTCCAAGAAAATAAAGACATTTTAAAACATAATTTTGACAAAGCTGAAAGAAACTAAAATATAAAAGCACCAATAATAATTTAATGGTGGTCAATAATAAACCATTACTACTCCATTGTCAAATATTTGCCCTTATTTTGCTATTTTCCCAGTTTTGTATGTATTGCTTGTTTTGCAGTATTCACTTTATCATAAATATGACAACAAAAGTTCAAATGATTAAAAAAAGTGAATGTATATACACTTCAGAAAAACATTACTTAAAACATTATTGTTTATATATCATTATTAACTACTAGTAATACTAATATTACAAATAATAATAAAATTATTAATTAATTACAGATTATTGCTGTGAATTAGTTTACCTTATTAGTCTAAAAAATTACATTTAGAGCTTTATAGGTTTAGAAGTTCAGTACAAAGCAAAAGTTCACAGTTGAAAATAATCAATCAATAAAAAAAGAAATAATGCATTTGAGTCACTGACAACTAAGGAAGCTGATGAAAAGCCAAGCCAACTGAAAGGTCAAAGGTCACACGCATGGTGAAGGAAGCAGGGCTGATGTGAGAACGTGCCGATGTGTTCCACTCACCTGACAGAGGTGCACAACCATTCTCTATCGGAGCAGTGAGATGCATGCACAAAAAGCAAGAGAAGAAATGAGTGAACAGAACAAAAGAGAGAGGTGGATTGGGTTTGGGGTATAGAGAGAGAGAGAGAGAGAGAGAGAGAGAGAGAGAGACACACAACTGCAATGGAAAAAAATAATTCGAGTCAACGTTGAATTAAGAATAGAATGAGAGGGAGAGGCCAGCCGCAGTGGACATGGAAGATGAGGTGGGACTGTTGGGTCAAAAGGTCATGGGTTACCTCTCGCTTGGCCAGCAGGACATTGGGTACGATGTGTGGCAGACAGCGGCCCAGCATGAGCATGACGCTCTGCTCGCTGTCAGCTATTCGAGACACCTGAGAAACAAGGACATGGGAATTAGGCACAAAAATGTTGCCACATAAAAGCAAGCAGAGGCAAACATGTCAGACATTTCATTTAATCACACGTGCCTAAAAATTACTGCATAACTGCAACCCAAGAACCTTTTCTGCTTTTGTAATCTGGACATAGAAGACACTATGAACTCCGAGACCTCTCAAACGTGCCTGTTAATGCATTCCTGGTCATTCTGAAAGCAACTGAACCGCTTCCAGTGCACTTCTTTCTATTCTAATGATTGGTCATAATCGTTAAAGGAAGAGTTCACTCAAAAATTACGTTCCAAACCTGTATGACTTTCTTAATAAAATAAAACATGACTTATTCCAAGTTTGAAGCCATATGATAGCATTAATTATTATTTTAGCTTTTCTTTCTATATTATAGATCTTATTAATGCTTTGTATTAGGATTTTTTAATATTAATTGATTTTAATTTATGTATTTTTGCATATTTTTATATTTCACTTTTCACTCAAATTTCACATGATTTTATTTCATTTTCCAGTTTTAGTTTTAGTAATTTTAGTGCTTCAATTTCAACAAACTCACTTTTTCCACTTAATTGCCAAAGCAACATTTTTGTTTTTCATCTAATATTTATATTTATTTTAGTGCTATCAAATGATTAATCGCATCCAAAATAAAAGGGTTTGTTTACATAATATATGTGTGTGTACTGTGTATATTATATATATACTGTATCGTGTACCTTGTCAGTGTGGTGCTCTTTGCTTGGCCATTTGTTGTGATAAACAGGAAAGTGTGTTCAAGCGCCAGCAAAACAGTGTAAAGAAATACTCTTTGTGAGAAGCAGTCAATCAGCAGAAGTTAAAAGCAGCTTGTAAGTGTATTTATTTCTTGTCTCAGTGTTTAGCGCAGTTGTCGTTGCTAGGAAACGCTTGTTTTGTTTACTGTGGAGACGTGCTGAAATCGCGTTTGGTCTCGTACTGTATCGCGTACCTTGTCAGTGTGGTGCTCTTTGCTTGGCCATTTGTTCTGATAAACAGGAAAGTGTGTTCAAGCGCCAGCAAAACAAAGTGTTAAGATATACTCTTTGAGAGAAGCAATCAATCAGCAGAAGTTAAAAGCAGCTCGTAAGTGTACTTATTTCTTGTCTCACTGTTTAGCGCAGTTGTCGTTGCTAGGAAACGCTTGTTTTGTTTAAGAGACGTGCTGAAATCACGTTTGGTCTCGTACTGTATCGCGTACCTTGTCAGTGTAGTGCGCTTTGCTTGGCCATTTGTTGGGATAAACAGGAAAGTGTGTCCAGCTGAATTCAATTTGAGTTTTGTAAACGAATAAAAAAAGAAGCTTAGTTTTCCGCTGAAGCGGTCGCGGCTGCGGTCGTGTGCAGACCGAAGAGTGTAAAGACCATCGACTCTACCGTGCGACTCCACCGAGCAGGGACACTTAATATAAATTATATGAATATAAATATATACATGTAAATATTTTCAGAGTATACTGTATGTGCGAGTAATTATATATACACATAATAAATATACGCAGTACACACATATATTATGTACACAAAAACTTTTATTTTGGATGCGATTAATCACGATTAATCGTTTGACAGCACTAGATTATTTTAATTACTGCTTTATGTCAATGTCTGAAAATGACAGATTTGAAAGATTTGACTTCCGAAAGTTTGGAAAGAATGATGACTTGAAAAAATCATGACATTTTGAAAGATTTGTTCAAGAAACAAAAATGGCTACTACTACTTAGAGTTCATGGACAGATCTCAGGATTTTCAGTGAATAACTACTTATTTGGTCTGTTTATCACACAAAGCTATTGTATGGCTTCAGAAGATTTACAGGAATACAATGCATGAGTCATATAAAGCTTTTTAATGAAACATTTATGGTGCTTTTTCAACCTTTTTAACCTTAAAAGCTGCAGGCCATATTCACTGTAACTGCACATCCAATTCAAAAGTAAAAAAAATTCTCCTTTTGTGCTCCATATAAGAAAGAAAGTCAGTCATACTGGTTTGAAAGCAACATGAGGGTGAGTAAATATTGACTGACTTTTCATTTTTAGATGAACTATCTCTCTGAGTGTCACAACAAGTAGACTCTACATGTGCTTGTGCTTTTGTACTAGGGCCGGCTCCAGACATGGGCAGGGGTGAGCTGAGCCCACCCAAATGACTATCTTGCCCATCCAATCAGAATTAGATAAAGATTGCGTAAATTTTTTTATGCAGTGATTAAAACCAATCTGAAGCGGGCTGTATTTTGAGAAGTTTAAGATATAGCTGGAGACTGCCCCAACAATAATAAAATAACACCAGAAAATTGTTTCTCTTTCACCATTTTTCTTTTATTTGCTCAATGCAAGGCGCGCTGAATTCACACGGCTTCAGTCTGTTGCAGAAAAGCAGAGGCAAGACGAGCGAAAACGGGCAGAAATATTTGCACGCTATCACGGGGAGTTTAATAGGCTACATGAATATGTATCATAGCCTACCACTGAAATTACCTGAGCAATTTTAATGTTCTAAAAATCAATAGAAAAAATCATTCAATAACGTGCATTCATTGCATGGATGGGGCAAGAGCATAATATAAGCGTCTAAAATGCATGTAGGCTATACAGTTCAGTTGAAAGCTTACCCCTTTTGGCTTGCTGTTAATGCTGAATGTAAGAATGAAAACTGAAAGTAAAGAGCTTGTGCGATGAAAGTTGCATTCGTTACTATAGCAACAGTCGGCTCGACTGTAAGAAACGTAGCGTTCCCCTTCTATTATGTAAACGATTCCGCAGTTTTGAATAGAAATTTAGGTCTGTCATTTACGTGATTCATGTAGCCTAATTCATAATTGATTATGACAATAGCATTTTTCTGTTTTGCGCTTTCAACAATACAACTGAAACTGAATGGGTGCATATTTTAAAATAAAAATATTATTTGCAGTTCAGATTGATTACTTTACAAAAATTCTTGTTCTTTTACGGTTCTTTTTTCTTTTAATTTATTCCCCTAAATCCATTTAAATCCTTTATTTATTTAGTTTCTTTAAATAAGTACCATTACCATAGAGGTCTTTATATTCTCTTCAAAACAATTGGTCCCTCTAATGTTCTAGACATGATTACGTCCTTGTTTGGTATAAATAAAAAAGTTAGTTGAAAATAATCACCAGTGTTGAAACAATGATCCAGAGAAAGATAACAAAGAGGGCTTTTTTTTTTTTTTTACTATTCAATAAAGAAAAAAAAAGGTTATTTTGCTGTGAAAATGCATGATATTCTAGGCTGCCCATCAAAGCTTTTTTTCAGTGTACATATAATATAGCTAATATAGCAATATCTACAGTATAAATATCTTCTAGACTATATGATGATATGATGACTAAAATGCCCACCCAGGATATATGCCAGCCCACCCTTCTATAGCCGTCAAGAACCGGGCCTGATGTACCTGTATGCTACCCGATCCCACTCACCTCTGAGCCCAGCCTACTGTCAGCAGACATTCGACAGAAGGACAAAAGTGCTTGGTGGAAGGCCGGAGACAGCTTTCTGCACAAGCAAACAAAACATGATTTAACAATCCACCTCCGGTTACCAATAACTCTACATATTAGCCCAGCTTTCCACAGCACAGAGCAAAATGCTCATATAGGAACAGTCAAAACAAGGAGAGGGTAATTTGTCTGAATCAGCCTCGTGGGGTAAAAGTCCATCCGGAGCAGATGTGCAAAATGATGATGAATGGAATATATGGAGCCAGTCAGCACTGCAGTACGACTTGGACGAGGACTGCAATGGTGCTTAATGCAGTGCTGCCATCTAGTGCCATAACAGCTATGTTAAAAAAAGTGGAGGGCTGCCTTATTGTTTACAGTCTAAAATAAAATCCAAAGGGAATAGGTTACTGACTCTTAAAGGGATAGTTCACCCAAAAATGAAAAGAAAAGAAAATTCTGTCATTAATTACTCACCCTCATGTTGTTCCAAACCTGTAAGACCTTTGTTCATCTTCGGAACACAAATTAAGAAATTTTTGATTCATTCCAAGCGCTCTCTGACCCTCCCATAGACAGCAAGGAATCTTACACAATCAAGGTTCAGAAACGTAGCAAGGAGATTGTTAAAACAATCCATGTGACATCAGTAGCTCAACCATAATTTTACGAAGTTGCAAGAATACTTTGTGTACAAAGAAAACAAAAATAACGACTTTATTCAACAATTCGTCTCCTCCACGTCACCCTATAGCACCATTTTGGAGAGTATCACATGCAACGTATGTACGCGGATACGTTGTTTACGTTCAGATCAAAGTGAAAACAACATAAACAGTGTATCTGCGTACGGTGGTGCTGACACAGAACAGCACACGTTGTTTACGTATGTGATACTCTCCAAAAT